CAACAATAATTTTACAATTGCTTTTAATTTTTTGGTCTGGTAGAATGGGCTCCCACCACTGTACGAGTTCATAAGGTGTTTTCCTTTCTTTGGCACAGCCAGTTCATACGTAACTGGTGATGTAATATTCGTACAATGCCACAAATAAAACAATACCTGGTTTCTACGTTTCTTCTTTATAATATTATATTAGTGAGTAAATATAGATAAAAATATATTAATACATACTAATTATAAATTGATGGCGTAGTTTTCTAGTTGTTATCAACATAGTCCATTAATGTCCCCACTGCTAAGGCACAGGTACAGGTCTTCTCTGTGAATGGAATCAAGTCGAATTGGTAGCTCAGAATAAGTCCAAAAACAGCAATAAAGTTACACTACGTATACTTTAAAACTACGTATAATTTAAAAATACAAGGATGTCAAAACAACACAAGTCTCCATTCATTGTGTGTTGTGTTAATAAAAATACAGAGTACTATTTCATACAAACTTTATTTAAATCAAAAAATAAATTCTACAATAATCCTTTACTTTTTAAAATTAATATGTATAGTTATAAATTTGTTTTAGCTTCTCGATTGTTTCGTTAGCAAGTTCCTCATACCACTTCCAACCTCACATCTCTCGCAAGGCATTTTTACCCTCAAATTAATAACTAACTGGTTTCTTATATAAAAATATTCCCTCACTTACATCAAAATTCGAAAACAATAAGGAAACGTTTAACTAAAAAAAAAAAAACAAAATAACGCTATTCACATATCAGAATGCAAACATCAGGTGATATTAATTTACTAGAACCACAATTAGCTTAACAAATTATATTAACTCTTTTACATTCTAAATTTACAATGCATATATTGTAATATTTTAATAAAAAATACATATCTCATATATCAAAGAACACTTCACCTATTTTTAATTGCTGTTTTATATCGGTAACGAATGAGGCACATCATTATTACAATTCTTTAACATTACGTTGTAAGTTGTTCGTGACAATGTCGCACGCACGTGGGAATTATGCATTTCATGCACAATCACCGCTTCCTCTATCGGATAATTTATACAAAAAATCTTAACATTTGATCGTATGCTGCATGATATACTCGCAGTAAAAAGAGCATAGTTCATAATAAACTGTATTTATATATCAATTTGTTTAGGTGTGGTCAGAAATCTATCAATACGCAACTGGATAATGTAAAGCAACAACACTAGTGCTGAGATTTTAGCAAATGTTCATTATACTTGAAAAACTTTAACATAACCTATGCTTATTACATGTATTCAATTTCATAACTCTATAAAACTTTGACGAATAACTATTTGCATGTTTTCAAATAAACATGTATTTAAAATTGTTCGAATGTAAAGTCACCTGTATTGAATTTCAATTGTTTATTCGTTTGTTACACTCTTTTATTAGATCCAAAATAATTTCCAAAATGTTGCCTAAAACATTAATTTATAAATGTTATTTTATATAACATAATTAAACAATTTGAATACTCCGGCTTGGTTAACTCTCTGATATTTTACTTAATTGTAATAGACTTTTTTTTTAATTCTTTACTTCATGACAGGGCACGTAAATAAATTATAATACATCAACATCAAATATATGTATAATCGATTATTTAAAAATTGTGTGAATCTTAAAAATGTTATGCATTCCACATACAGAGTTTTTCGCTAAAAATAGATTTTTTTCTCTTTTATAACGCTGTATGGCAGTGGCCGGCAGAGAGGAATGATACTATTGAAATCGCACAATAAAAATTCAAAATTGCGTACACTATAAACACAAAATTCATTCTGAAAAATGCAGTTTAACTATCTTTTTTGTCATATTTATAGAGAAGACATATTATAAAAGTAACTCGAAGGAGACTATAAATGTTTAGTAAAATAAAATCACTTGCACTGTTATAACTATATAACAGTAATGTTCGCATGGCATGTCCAAAATAAGTGACCTGCTTGTTTTTAATGACATTAACGAACTTTAAAACTTCCAACTCCGAGCTACAAAATCGGACCTAATTACTAATTTCACTACAACCTTCGAGACTGCAAGACACTAGTCATTGGTACAAAAGTGGTAGAATAAAAATATATATAATATGTAATTCTAAGTAGATTATTTTTTCTATTAACTAACTAATCAATAAAAACTAATATTCCAACTAATTAACACATGATTCTTAACTAAAATAACAAACAGTTCGTAAGTTTATTGCGGATATTTAATAGCCAAAATTATTTTTAAGCAAACATATCTATATAATATTTTGCACATTTCATATGCTTTGGTATGCAATACAACCTTCTCATGATCGAAGGGATATTGTGTAACATTTAAATAAGAAGTTTTATCTTATATAAATGCAGGGCATAATAATTTAAGTGTCCGTCAATATAGCAACTTACCACTGTACATATATTATTTTATTATTATAACATACAATGGGAAACATGTTTGTATCGCTGTATACTTGCATGATGCATCGTTTATCCTACATCAGTAGTTCTGAACCTTATAATGAAGACCACATTTAATAAAAGAATAGATTTATCGACGATAAAATATCGACCGTGTTTTTATTTACCCGAAACACATTTTTGTCTCCAAAACTACGATCCGGCTATAGGGTTGCCATCCTATTAGAAGAAATGGAATATATCCGATTACAAAGGATGAAAATAAATAATACGGACTTTTAATCATTTATTAAACATTTTTTTTTAATCTGGCACTTTTTTTAGTTACAAAACTAGTATCAAAAATAGTGTGAAAAGGCATATTTTAGCGTCCGCTATTCGTGTTATAGATTATATATAAATGAAAAATAAATAATAGTACGTCTAAATTTTATAAAGTAAAACTCTATTTTATAGAAGAATTGGCAACCTTAGCTGGCGAGCAAACGCGGTACATTACAAGGAGAATCATTTTTCGCGTCTTTAAAAAATTTCGTAGTTTTTGCGCAGGATTCAGTGTAACTTATAAACATAGTTATTGTATCTGCTCTCAACTCAATTAATCCTGCCCTATCAAATCGAATCAGGTAGCATGACATCAGGCGATACCCACGTGTTTCCGCATTGTGACTGAAATTCAAACTTTTGTTGTATTTGACATCTAATAGTTATTGGAACAAAGCTGATTACAAATTTTATTCATTCGTTCAGAGAGTGACAGGTCAATTCTGCGCAAACGAACATTCACGAGGCATATTAATGGAATCTTAATGTACCTTAAAACTCGTCACGAACTGATTAATAAGACCTGATTTTACCAAGAATTCATCTATAATACGAAGTTTTTGTGTTGCTGTACCGATAGACACTTATCTATAGTACCAGACGTGATTGTAACTCGAAAACACTTCATAAAAATACGTTCACTAGTAGTGAAAATAGTCAGTTAGAAGAGCATTCGCTCGGATTACCTAACGCGAGTTAAAATCCTGTCTGGTGAAAATTGAAATCCCAGAAAACTGAAATCGTAAAAATTTAACTCATAATATTATTTAAGAACACTATTATATATAAAAAATGCGACAACTCTATATTGTATGTTTTAAGGCGATTTTTATTAAAAATCTTACTTTATAAACTTTAATAAATAGTCTAATCCATAATGTTAAAATATTACTTCAGAAAATAAATCAGTAGTATTTTTTTCTTATATTGAAAGCTTTTATTATTCATTATCTCTGTACTCTAATTGTTTCAACTAAAATATTAACGAAAATTCTTTATTAAACCAAACAACTTTCCCGAGAATATGTCGTTGACCGATATTATTAGGTCGAAATTTGTTAAGATCTAATCAATATTTATTTGTGAAAGATGTCTAGATTTGATAGAATAACTCTTTAAAAGAGATTAAAGTAATAACGCTATGGATTTCCAGGTGGTAATGTCATTGCTGACTCCGTATTAATGTCACGAACAACTTACCCGCTTATGGATGTCATATATAACTAATATTACACATTTATAATAAGAATCTTCAGTCAATTCTTAGGTACATTTTTTAATCAAATCTTTTCTGTGTTAATTTGCTAATAGTGTATACATTTATTTTCTCTTTACAGTAATAACAATATGCATTCACATAGAACCCCGCATTTGGTTTCATTATTATTAAATCAATGGTTTCGTGATCACAATAGCAACATATAAACATTAAGATGTAAGAAATCGACAGAACACCAGATATAAAGAAAGATGATTCAATTATTATGAGAAAAGCAACATTTGCATTTACAGACATACACACAATTTTTCTATTCGATATGTTTGATGTTATCTGTTCGCGCAGAATAAAAAAAAAAATGCTATTAAACTCTGGACACCCCCTTCGTAACAAATGTTAGAACCACTAAATCAATAAAGCTCATTGAGGAAGTAACAAAATTCTTTTCCCAAAAGAATAACGTACACATCTGATTCCCAACAGGAGGAGTCGTATAGAAAATATATACTTTCTAATACAATAATTTAAAAGAAAAGTTTTGGTGTATCAATATAAAAAACTTCCTTACCATACAATTCATCTCTAATATAATATTAAACATCAGCACTCTCGATTAACGTTACGAAAAGCACTCTCGGTAATATAATCCACGATCGTCGGCCGTCTATATTAAATCTGCAGTGACGACGGACGACCACGCTCCGATCGGAGCCTCGGCGATAGCACTGATGAAAATTATATTTTCACATGGGGGCTAGAATCGAATGCGAGACGACAATCTCTACCGACGGAGACGGTATAAATATATCTATTAGAAAGGGGCTAATCTATCCCCACTGGTCCGCGCGTTAAGCTTACGTAAATATTCAATAGAATCTCTTTGTACTATGGTTAACGTCCGACCGCGGATCCGGAGGGCAGGCGGCCAGGAGGGAGCCCCGGCCGCCCGAGAGGGTACTTTGGCAGTACTAGAAAGGCACCGTTGTCCCGCGCTCCCACTCCCGGGCACCACGAGTCGCACTCCACTCCCGCTCCAACTACTTGCCCAGTCTCCGCCGCAGACGGTTCCTGAGCGCTAACGCCGGCGCCCATGGACCAGACGCCCGCTTGTGGAGGGCGCGCGCGCACCGCTCCGACTGCAGCCGCGGCGCCTTACCGCCACCGCCGCCGATCGCCACCGCGCCCTCCTCGCAGCGCGAGCGCTTGCCACCCGCACCCGCCGTCGGGGTGCCAACGGGCGCCTCCGTTTCGTTCCTGGAGCGCAGCGCTCGCGGGCGGGGCGCAGGCGGGGGCGGAGCACCGCAAGGGTCGCCGGTGGTGGAGTGCACCTCGGGCTCATCCCGCCGGCGGGGCTCAGGGCAGGGGGCCTGGGCGGCGGCGGCGCGGGGGGGCGGGGCGCGCGCGCGGCGGGTCGCGGCGCCGAGGTTCTCCTTGCTGCGGTGGGCGCGCGGGGCCCCCTGTCGCCGCGCCGCCGGGGCCCGCCGCGCCGGGCCCGGGGCGCGTCCCGAGTTTCCCGCGCGGGCTCCCGCCGCCGCCGCGCGCAGCTCCCGCGCCACGCCGCTCAGGCCGCGCGTAATCTTTTGCGCGAGCGCGGGCGCGCCGCCCTGCGACCGCGTAGTGCGCCGATCCTCCTCATCGTCGGCGGGCGGCAAGGGAGGAGGCGGCGGTGGAGGTGGAGCCCGGCGCGTGAGAATGACGACGCGGTCGAGGGCGGGTGGAGGCCTAGGGCGGGCCGCCTGCCGCGTGTGGGGGCGGGGCGGCTCCTCGTGATGGGAGCGCAATACGCGGTCGTTCGGGGCAGCGGCGGAAGCGTCGCGACGGGGTTCGGCGCGGGGCCGGCGGCCGCGGCCTTTCGGCGGCGCCTCGACTGGCGAACTCGAAGAGACCTCGTTGATCTGGATGCGGCCGTCGTCGACACGCTCGTCGGTGGTGGACCGGTCACCGGCAAGGTCGGAGCCGGGTTGACCGGAGGCGGGCGCGTCCGGCTCGTCAGCGTCCGGCAAGACGGTGTCCGGGGGCGGGGCGGTGTCGGAAGGCCGGCGGTCGAGGCGGCGCGCAACTATTTCGTCGTACACGTCCTCGAGCGTGTTGACGATGCCGCTCCGGTTGAGCAGACGCGTCATGAAGTAGGACTCGGTGGGGTCGCCGTAGTTGGTGATCGTGTCGGAATCAGCCGTGTCGACGGGATCGTCGGGCGGCGGAGGCGGCGCTACAGACAAACGGGCGTCGAGGGTGGCGCAGGGGGGCAGCGGCGCGTCCGGCGAGGGAGCGGGGCGATCCACATCCGAGTACCGGGTTACGATGGTGAGGCCATTGCGGGGCACGCGGCGGTCGTCAGTATCAGTCGCGGGCTCGGGCTTCGAGTCGTCAGTCTTGAGTGGAGCGGGGACGGGAGGCGCGGCGTCTGTTGGGATGGGGACAGGAGGCTTCTGTGTGGTCCGAGAGCGGAGCACTGTGGCGCGCGGCGGACCAGGCGGGTCCAACATTAACGTCACCACTGATGTATTGTCAGCCCTCATTCTCGTGTTAGACCACCTACGAGGAAAATCAATATATCGACAGTGGAAAGGCAAAACTGCTAACACGCTACAATGGCACTTTTGGGAAATGAATTCTAAAGTTTTTCTTTTTACAAATAAATTTATAAATTCTTTGTTTTTAATCTAATGAAGTTCATTTTTATATATAATGATAAGTGATTTTTTATCTAAATTTAGAATATCTTTGCAGATTAATAACTATTTTAACAAGTGAAATACATGTCGCTTTAGCAAAAACGTCTCGGCTTACTACTTACTATGGTTCTGGAAAAAATGCTTAAGTGATATAGATGAATCAGGTCAATCGAGCCGAAATTGCTAATGGAGAATTACAACTTATTATTGAAAACTCAATAATTACTAAGCAGCAGTATATACATACAATGTCGGCAGCAAATATAGCTAACCTTATGAACTTAATAAATTGTAGTGAGGCAAAAAATCTTAAAGGCCTTTTACTTCGAATAATACAATAACAAAAGATCTAAATGTATGAACTAAGTAGCAATTTTGAATGGTAAAAAATGCTATTAACAATAAATAACAAAAATAAAAACTAGTATTGCAAATCAACATAAGTATATTTATTCAATTAAGTTTTTTGTAGTTACAAAAATATTGGAACAAAACAGATCGAAAATCAGATAATTTGGTATCAGTTACACTGTCGCATTAAATAATCTTTATTCAGATTTTTTTAGGAATTTTATGAACTAAAAATAATAACAATCTTTGCATAATTAAGTTAACAAAAAATAATATAACTTTCTTTCATAACAATCACTGATAAATTATTTTCTTACACATTAATGAACCATCGAATGATATCTTATTTCAACAAATATTCATTATTGAATACAATTACAACAGAAAATTTAATGAAAATGCTAGCCTCAAGATATCAATAATTAATAAACAAATTAATGATAATTATTTAAATAACTCTAAAATTTTAATTTAGTCTTCCACAGTATCTTCTACGTCTGTATCAGGTAGACAGTCTTGTATATTGGCAGCTTGCGGTAAAGATTCGTATTCTGGAATATACATTGCAGGAATAGTTCTATTCTTACATAATTTTTCCAAATCATTATATTTCTTTTTAGAAATAGGGAGTCTGGTTTTATAAATTTTTTTGGGCATGAGGTCGATTTTTCCAATAATATCGATATACTCTGATTTTGCTTTATCACACATAGAGTATTTGACCTCCATGCGAGTGAGATTATTTTTTTTAAAGGTAGCAATCCGAATCTTACTTATTTTACCCGTAAGGTTGCCTTTGAAGTATTTTTCGGATACTGTGTCCCATCCTTCGAAATCTTTGTAACATAAAACTTCAACTTCGTAGGGTTTTGGAGCTTTTCGTGCTAGGGAACAGACAGTCGGCCATTGGGATGGTGCCCATATGATGGTATTTGTAACACTTTTTTCAATGACCGAATGCATTGAGTCTACCGGCATGAAGGTGTGCCCAGGTAGAAGATAGTTAATCTGTATTGTCATAATATTTTTACATAGATTGAGAATTTTGGAAATGCAGGCCAAAATAATTTTGTTTTTGTTTTGCCCTGGGCAAGCATCACAATATAGTAGTAAATGTTTTATAGTTTTTCTTTCATCTACGATTTTGATGTATTTTGCTAAAATGGTGCAAATTTCATTTGCTCCTCGCTTGCCCTCTACCTCATTCCATAGAAAGCAGAACCCTTCTCTGGTTACGGATTCGTAGAATGTTAAGTTATATGTTGCAATCTTCCTGCTATAATAGAGCAACATGCTTTCACCATATGGAGTGTTAAGCACTTTTTGTAAATCGAATGTTGAACATAAGACACTACTATCATGATTATGAAGATCTTGATGAACCTGGAATCTCGAATACGTTTCTTCCTTGTCTTGTAAGTGATTAGTTTTTTCTTCTTTAAATTCTTCCGAGCTGTTTTCATACTTAATACACTTTACACATTTGTCCTTCCGGGGAACATGAAATGAAATATTGAATTCTGTGTTAAATATATTCCTAAATACCTTTTCACCAACATATTCTTTCCCTGCATCTATATTCTGTAACTTATAAAGTTTGTATAAATTTGTTAAATTTTTGTACTCTTGTGGCAAATAAACTCTATTTGAATTCTTCCTGCAGTAATGAGAAGGAACAGCTGGTAACTCTTGAAGATATTCCCTTACGTAGTTTATCAAAGACGGAGGAGTTTTATTTGCTGGTACTCCTCTGCCTCTTTCGTCACTTTTAGAGCTTCCATATTCCGAGTTACTAACTAGTAGATGAACATTCCTTTGTCGAACATCTAATGTATTCATGAAGAAATTCATGCACACGGGTCTTTGGCCCTCTCCATCGTTAATGCAATATCTGTATGTAAATTGCCTTCGGCTTTCTATATCTTTGGTGCGCTTTCGCTTTACTGTTTCTTTCTTAATATGGCTTACTATCCAATCACGTTGTCTTTCAACACTCAAACTCCAATAGTGATCAAAAATAGTTTTTCTTCTCTCTTCTGATATAGTATAACATTCATTAGGACATTTACCATTAGGCTTACATGGATTTTCTTTTAGAGATCTAGCGTCTACTACCTTTCCTTTCATTGTAATATATCGTTTCCCGGATCTTTTCAAAAAACTTCGGTCTTTACGTTTATTAAATTTCCTTTGTTTCTTTCTAATGTCATTTGTATTTATCTCTTTTTCTTTTTCTAAATTTTCTATTGACGCCAAGTAATGGTTGTCTTTGTTTCCTTTTTCAGCTTTTTTCATGTTTTTCGTTTGGATTTTAATTTTTCTATTAGCATTTGTTATGTTAGAGCTGTCACTTTCATCTGATTCGCCCCAAGAAGAAGAATACAAAGTAAACATTTCGTCGTCTGACAAAAAATCTATATGCTTGATAATTCTTTCCTGTTTCTTCTCAAGCCGGGTTTGAATATTTTCGGTATTTTCCTTACTACATCCAGGTTTTTCATGAAAATCGTCAGCTTTTTTGTGTTTGATTTCATATAACTTATTACTCTTTTTGGATTTCCCTTTGCGACTTAGATATGTCCTTTTTGTAGTACTATTTTTTTTCTGATTTTTTTTGCCTTCTTCATATGTTTCCTTGCCTGTTTTACTTTCATTATCATCATTTTTTTCCAAAACGCCGTTTGTATCTTCTTCAAGTTCAATCCTAATATAATTAACTTCACTTTGATCATTTTTATCATTAGAATGAATTTGCTGCAAGCAAACTACAATCTCCTCTTCTCTAGAAAGCAAAATTACATTTTCGGTCAAAAGCTCGGGTTCTGAAGCAGGTGTAATCTGTGGTAATATTTGACCCGAAACGTTGCCATATTCAGACACTGTGAAATCAGGATTCAGCGTAGGCTGAAATGAAACATGGCTTGTAGTGGCATCCTCGAATTCCGGCTGCCGAAGTTCTGAAGTCAGTGTGAGCTGATCTGACATTGGGTCCGACGTACTATTACCAAATACAGATTGATGACATTTGGGGACAAATGTAGACTCTGGCAACATCTGCTCTAAAGCGTCGTTTACTAAGTCTCTCTGCTCAAGCTGAAGAGCTGATGTCAATTGCTCTGAAGTGACACTTGCGCAGTCTGACTGCTGCAGCTCAGCAGCTGGCGCGGACTGATGGGCTAACTGATTTGATGCACCTTTCTCGAAGATTGTTTTTTGAAGTTTAGGAGTTAACATTGACTGAAATGTCAATTGGTCTGAACAGTCTTTAACTAAGGGATTATACAACTCAGAAGCTGTAGTGCAGTTTAGGTGTTCAGGTGTTGAATTTGGTTGCATCATTTGGATCGAGGCGTGGTCTGAATCAGATTTCACAAGTTCAACAGGAGAAGACTCCAGGTAAGGTATTATCGGGTTTGAAACATTACTTGTAATGTCGGGTTGATGGGGGTTACGAGATGGTGAGATCTGCACTGAAGTCACAACGTCAGCATCATCGTCTTGGATGGTATGAGTATGATCTTGTATACTTAAGTAGTCCATAGTGTTCGCATGACGTAACTTTGTTACATCGATTTTTTCTTTTTCAGAAGACTGACTTTTTGTATATTTTTTGAAATAGGTATTACGTTTACTTTCCATTATTCATAAAAAATCTAAAACAAACACACATTCCTTTAGTATTGTTATCGATTACATTAGAACATAAGTTACGATACGAGGAGCTCGATGGCGCAGCGCCGCGGCGTGCGATCGTTGATGTAAAGCAACGTTCGCAACGGCCAGTCACAGGATGGGTGACCAAAACTTTTCAATCTCGAGCTCCTCCGTGCTTCGGAAGGCACGTTAAGCCGTTGGTCCCGGTTGCATTAGCAGCCGTTATACCCTCCAACCCGCATTGGGCCCGTGGGCGTGGAGGGCTATGGCGCATCCTCCTTAACCATCCATAAGGTAGGCCTGTGCCCCTGCGGTGGGGACATAAAAAAGGCTGATGACGACGATACGATAGGTTACGATCAATACGATACCATGTTATACCATGGTATTGATTTTCAAAAATATTAATATAAGTACCTAATGTTGACAGGTAATCAAAACTTACTTTGTTAAAATCTAATAAAAAAAAACAAATCAAAAAGCCAATAGCAAAATAATCTTATTATTTTTATATTATATATTTATTATCAAATTTTTATTATAGATACCTAAATAAAGTCGATTTGTAAACAAATTTTATAACTTATCGTGTACATACCTTTTTTTTTCAGACATCAATCACTTTCAATCAATTTACAGCATTTATGGGATAACACCAACATAAACAAATAATTGTTGAGTTGTCTTAGCAATTTTATTTACTATTATGGTCACGCGATCACTCACCAAGCTAGCCCAATAGAAACTGATCACCACTGATGTTACGAGTCAAAGATGCAAAGACTAGTTCTAACACGTTTCGACCTGAATAAGCGTTTAACCCGGGAAGCTATCAACATTATTACTAAACGTAATTCTTTAATATAGGTATAATAATATAGGTTTAAGGTAATATATAAATTTTGAATATAGGTTTTTATTTTGCTAACTTCCAGATAAATAACTTGTTTTGATAGATTGGCGTTATTTTTTTTACTAATAGAATGTGATGAGTAAATTATAAATAGGAAAATTTTGCTAAAGCGCCAACCGCTCTTATGTCGCGCGCAACAAATTTTGCTAATGTGATAAATCATTGAAATTCATCTTCAACAAAACTTACTAATAAGCAGTTATATATTAATGTGCGAAAAGGCTAAATTGCTATTGTGCATTAGTCAATGAAATTAAAGACAAGAAAAAGTGCGTATGTAATGAAAATAAACAGAACGACGGCAAGAAAAGTGTCATAACTACAATGTGGCAAAAAAATGTACTACTGAGGCGCCAAAACTTAAAAAACACTGAAATTATGGCGCTTTAGAAATACAAATCTGTGATTTTCCTTTACAAATGCGATTGCTAAAGCGCCAAAAAAGTCATCGGATTGATGTGAGACCCGCACCAATCGACGCAGAAAAAAAAATCCTATTCAAACATATATATAACTCATTTTGGCCTATTTGGCGCTTTAGCAGTTTTGCCTTTCCACTATCGATATACATCTAGCTAAACGCCCGTAGAGTACATCACTGGTATCCCGCTTACCTTTCTAGAGCGTGATCCACTAGACTCTTGGACGGGTTGAGCCAGTCCCTCGGTTGATTGGCGGCGCCGCCGACCAATGCCGCCTCATTATGCCTCTCGGTCGCTTGCACCAGACTGACGGCTCCCTCTGGCGATATCATATTCCACAAACCATCGGTCCCGAAAATTAAACACCTAAAAAGAAACCTCCAATAGAATCATAAAGTCGTTTGTTTGATAAATCGATAGTCATATATACATGCGAAAGTGACCATTTCACTTTAACATATAAATAAACCACTGAAACAATTTCAATAATGTCTTGTACAGGGATAGAGTTGACTTTGGGAAGTTAACTCTGTCCAGACCCCCAAGACGATGTAGCAAAGTTCAACAAGTTTATCCTGTAAACTTCCAACACAGAAATAGTCCAGTCAAAATAGACAAAAAAAAACCCATAAGTTAGGAATAATTCGCATAGAGCTGAAAATTGGTATAGACGTTGAATAAGTCATTACCAATGAAATGTCAAAAGTCCCCATCGATCCTATGTGTGCAAAAATTTTTATTCAAGGTCAAAGGTCACAAATTCTGGTTTTTCCCATTTTTCTCCGAAACCGGAAGTATTATCGTAAAAATAGGTTAGACAAAAGTCTCTGTAGATCATACAATTCTCTACAACAATTGTCTTAATATTTTTTTTCGTAGAATCACCATTCGCGAGATATCGCGATTTTAAAAGTTAAAAAACTTATATTATTCGTTATATGCAGCCTGTATACGTCATGGACGTTTAATATAAGTAACGACAACAGTCTATCCGAAGCCACGAACTGTTTGGGTGGATGCCTAAACATTGATGGGAATACGCTCTGTAGTAGCGAAAAGTAACAAGTACTTGAAAGATTCGTCAGTCCTGTTAGGTCCTGGGTAGCTCAGCGGTTAGAGCAGTCGCCCGGATTGCGAAAGGTCGTGGGTTCGATTCCCATCTCAGGGTGCCAAGGACCAAGTAGATTTTTTAAGCATTTTGTATTAAGAATAACAGTCTATTGGTTTGTATTACTCACACACTTTAACTTTCCCAAAATTAAATGACTCTTTTTAAATATCAGACTATAATATCAGTCCCTTATTCCCTTTGCCCGTAACCTTGAGTAACATCTGCCCTCTACGTCACTGTCCGAGTGTAAAAGGTCGAATCTTACTTATTTTCGTACAATTGTATGATACAACTTTTGTCTAACCTATTTTTAAAAACCGGAATTTGCGACCTTTGACCTTGAATAAAAATTTTGGCACACATAGGATCGATGGGGACTTTTGACATTTCATTGATAATGATTTATTCAACGTCTATACCAATTTTCAGCTCTATGCGAATTTTTCCTAACTCAAATGTTAATTTGACTGGATAAAAGCAAAATGAATGTGATAGTTACTCTTTAAGTAATGGCACACAGTACAAGCAAAGTTCTTTGTGATGAAACCCTTTACGACGCGAGTATTTACCGACAACAAAGCGAAGTACTTACAAAGTGGCAAACTATTTATTTATTTATCAGGACAACTTATAAACAAAGGTTCCCAAACTTATTTCGTCGCCTGCCCTCTTTGAACAATAAATTATTTTTAATGCCCCTGTTTTTTAAACTACTTAAGGCCACTATAACTTCAAATTAAATTTATTATTGTGAACTATATTAGCGGAGACTAAACATTCAAACTAAACGAGACTTTTACTACAACCTGCAAGAGTTGACTTGAGACCAGAGCACAGTAGGTAAGTAAATGAGTCAACTTAACTGTTCCTAAGCCTTGATGCCCCCATTTTTTCTGGGTCTCTTACAGCACCCATGAGGGGGCGTAATCGCCCACTTTGGGAAAGGCTGTTATAAAACATACACATTTTAAATAATAGTTTAAAAACCATTTGTGACTCTTTTATTTGTGGTATTGTTTGCAACTATACGCATGTGATAACACAAACGATAGAAAACTTTCAAGTTTAGCAGTTTACTTGTGCATACTACTCACCGAAACTTAGATGGGTCTATCGTCAATACACCAACATCAGGATCAGGACTGACTATGAACTCATCATTCTGAGGATTATAACTCCATAGGTCTCCAAGAGATCTCGCTACTGCAAGAAATGGTATCTCGTCCATTGGCGTATTCTTTTTTATGGGTCCTTTATGTCCCAAACGGGGTCTGTTCCACACAACTCTAGGCACACCGGCCTTTGAAACCACTTTCCCTCCGCAACGTTGGATACGCTCAATTTCTGGTGCCGATTCTGGTTTATGATCAGAAGTTAAAGGTTTTGCTGCCCATTCTTCGCATCCTGTAACAATTGTTTACAACCTTTAATTATTTCAGATTCATATAGATTGCTATAACTTCAATAAAGCATATAGGGAGTGTAACATCCCACCACTTAGAATATCACTGCAGATTTTTTAAATGTAATCATTACCTTAAAAGTTATAGATAGAAACTGACTTCATAATATCATATGATTCCTTTCTATTGAACTATGTCTAACTTTAAATTAACAATTTTTTCATAGTCTTAATATTTATAATTAATTGACAATAAATTAAACAAGGATAAGTAATGTATTGAGCTCAAGTTTTTATAGACAACAACTCAATTACAGTTATAATCCATTATTTTGATAACAGATACAAACTTTCCTTAATTATTTTAGTTTATATAAATAAATTAAATTTTCTGTATAATAAACAACCCAAATTTAATAATAAATCACAGAAAGGCATTAAAATAACTAGTTATTCTTTTTTAAACTCATAATTATGATGAACATTGGAATATTTTATCTTACAAGTGATAGACATATTTCTTGAAATGTACCTTTAAACAGATAAATAAAAACATTTTGTACACTATAAAACTATACTATATGTTATAATAAACTCACAATTCTTATAACTCAAAACTCACCAACTCTAACAGAAGTAACAATATAACTTACCATCTTTCTGGTAACCAAGCACTATTGCAGAGTCTCCAACGTGACCAATATATATTTTGCCACGTCTTATAAAAGCAACACTTGCTGTAGTTCCAGCTGTACTGGGCAGTCCCGTAACAGTCTTCGGCCATTTTTCTATAACACAATTATAATGAAGCTTTAAGTAATATAATAAAAAGGAACTATTGAATTCAAATACAAAGTTTAACATATTTATTTTATATACATCATAAATTCGAAGAGGAATTGGAATATGTTTTTATTTTTATTTTCAAAGTATATTTGGTGGGTTTTTGGGGATAGACTACTTAATTTGGGGTTTACTTTATATTAGTTTACATTTATATTGTTGTGTGCATGAGCAAGGATGTGGTTTCTTTTTGAGAATAAAGGTTTAAAACCTTGTTTGACTGTTTATATAGAAAACAAAATATGGATGTACTATTACAAGAGAAATGCTCTACAGTGCTATTTCTATATCAATAAAAACATAACCTAAAAATTACTATCTATACAATTTACAATAGCACCATAAGCAATATAGCAACTATAGTAAATTGAAAGGCTTTTTGATAGCCGAAAAGAAACTCCCACTTTGATTCAATATAAAACCAAACCAGTAAAACTGCTTTCACTTTGCAATAAATGGGACTTTCCAAAAATGTTACAGGTATCTGTAATTTTTACATGTTACCTAATGACTATTTATGTGCTATGGTGATTCTAAGGCTAAAAAGCGTTTGAAAAACTTATGTTGCCTCAATGTCAAACCATTCGAGAAAAAATAATGAGCTGAACAAGGTCGAACGAAACATTTTAACAATCACTTTAGCGTCTCCTTGGGATAATTCATGATAAGCTCTTCACAACTTCGTATTTAGAATAGAAACACTAATGATTCGTATGCTGTTTACCTAATTCTTTCCACATGTCCAAATGGGTCAACATGTAACCATTTCTAATTGCTTTGAGAACGTCTTCATCATTGTCAGACCAAAATTGACGTTGCTTCACTATAGAGTCCATCAAATGTTCTTTGGCGAATGCTGCTGCCTCGCTACCTCCGTGACCATCGTAAATCCCGAAAAAAGCGTATTCCAAATCCCTCTCATCTTCCGTTTGTTGATAAGCAACAGAAAACAAATCTTCCATATACTTTCTCCCGCCTTGACTACAGTGACCAGTCACTCGTAAATTTACACCAATTGATGCAGGCATTTTAAAACTATAACACTACAAATTGTCTTTAACAAAATAAGATTTCATTTTAAACAAACGTTTTCGTCTCAGACATTTTGCATTCGCAATTACGCTAGTCGCGACTGACGACAGATCACGTGGACATATTGATCACTACGCGTGTTCAAATTAAAGGCCGTTTTCTATGTGTAAGAAAAAGAAGCATATATTTTTAACAGTTCAATTGAATTGGACGCCATGACTGATTCCGCCATTTTCAATAGTGACTCATTTTAGCTACTTATTATGTTGTTTCTAAAAATCAATGGATTATTGTGCAATCCCATAGTATCATAATAAAATGTGTACATTGTATATAATAGAAACGAAGTGAATATAATGTTTAAACAAAAATATATGATAGCACATTAATGAATATTACACCGGAAGTTAAAACTGAACCCTGAGACTGACCCATACCACAGATACACATAAACTATACAGATGCAAAGAGTAGTATAATATAACATCCCATAGAACAAAATGTGACCTCTAAATGTCAAATCATAACGTTAAACCAAAGAGAATAGCGTTGTCGTTGTTGTATGGATCTAATAAGTTGAAATTCAATGAGGAAGTATTTAAAAAAAACAAACGAAGGCACTAAAAAAGTACCTCCACTATATGACAACTCTAGCAAAAGTTGATTTTTGCAGGAAACAAATGGACCAAAGACAGTAATTTCCGTTCCTTTTAACTAACATATTAAAAAACTGAAATTTGAAAAGTTTGGAACTTATATATCAATACAAGTAAGAAAAAGTAACAAATTCTACTTTATTTTTACTAATGAGAAAGTATTTTAAAAAAACATTAGTTCCCGAAGTCGAACTAGATGTCACTACGGTACGTCCTTGATTTCTCCATGACAACCCTTCCGGTTTCCTTTCATGTTTAAAAGTAAATTAGATTTCAAAACTCATATTTTATTTGTATTGATATCTAAGTTTCGATCTTTTCAAATTTCAGTTTTTTAATATGCTAGTTAAAAGGAACGGAAATGACTGTCTTTGGTCCATTCGTTTCCTGCAAAAAGTCAACTTTTGCATGAGTCGCCATTTAGCGGAGGTGCTTTTTTAGTGCTTTCGTTTTTTTTTAAATACTTTCTCATTAAATTCTAATAATTTATGAACTTATACCTATTTACAAATAATTTTAATGAATTGGTTAAATACATAATATGGAAGTTGGTCGTTTTAGTAATGATTCTTTAATGCGTAACGTAACAACTAGTTATATTGTTTTGACCAGGATGTTTCTCAAGAACTCGGCCCAGTAACCAACGACTTGGTGGCAAATCATTTTCTTTTATTAAAACCACATTTCCTACTTCCAGCTCTGGTATTTGGTGAGACCATTTATATCTCTGCAAAAGGGTAGGTAAGTAGGTACTCTTGGGACCAATGCCGCCAGAAGTTTTGTAACATCTTTTGCACAAGTTGCCATCTATGCAAAGCACTAATGTGAGAATTTTCATAATTAACCTCCGGTGCAGCGATCAATGGTTCACCCACTACAAAATGTCCTGGTGGCAATGGTAAGAGTTAGTCTGAATCATCAGTGTAAACTATTTTCATAGGTCGAGAATTGAGACAAGCTTCGACTTGATAAAGCAATGTCCCTACTCATTTCTTCGTATGTCAGAGTTGACTCGCCTAAAACGCGCTTAGGGTAAAATTTTGTGGATTTTACTGCCGCCTCCCATAATCCACAAAAATTAGGAGCATGCGGTATAAAGTACCACTCAGTATTATTAGCTTCCAAATACTCGGCGATACTTGATTGTCTCTTAGACAATTCCGGTAATGCTCGTGCGGCACCAACGAATTTGGAACCGTTGTCACTACATAAATGAGCGCAGTGTCCACATCTTGAAACAAAACGTCGGAATGCAGCAATAAATGACTGGGTACTCAAGTCACTTGCAGTTTCAAGATGTATGGCGCGAGTTGCCATACAAATAAAAATATATCCTTTATATGCACGATGCCCTCTGTCTTTTGTTGTTCTTCTCGGGTAATGTACCCCGCTGTTAGAAAACGGTCTGGAAGGAGTACATCGTACAGACGGAAGCGTACTCATTAATTGATTTTGTGTTCTGGCGTTGTATCTAGTAAATATGATACATTTTCTAACGTATACCTTGACAACATTTTTAACATTGACAATCCAATATTTAGATCTTAGACAATTAAGCATGAGTTGAGGGCCCCCATGTAGGGTCCGTTTATGAGCATCGACTCCTATTATGTAAGATGTGCGTTAGGTGATAAGATTATTGCATGTTTTGTTTGAGTTGGAAGAGATGATGCTTGTAATCTCCCACCCACTCGCATTATATCTACATCATCAATATAATTTAGGGAAATATTGATTTTAATTTAGTTCCTTTAGCACTTATACATGAACCTTTCTTTAATTGAGCAATTAGATCAATTTATAATCTTTTAGAAATTTAAGGAAATAGACATTATGACTGTTGCTTCTCAATACATATACGAGAACTTAATGTACGTTCGTAAAAATATTAGTTTATTTTCTATAAAAAGTGATGTACGCAATTTTAATACAAGAAAAAAAAATATTAACGGTGCCTGTCACTAGACAGCAAAATGTTAATAACCCATTAATAGCCAGTTGCAGAAACGGCCATTAAAATTTTCATTAGTTGAGGGCGACGTTACCCATACAAATTTGACATTCATTAGAGCTTAAAGGCGTTATAATGGACGTTTGTGCAACTGACCGTAAGGCTCTTTGTGTGCGCTTCTACAATAAGGTCCCAAAATACAACAATAAGATATCATGCAGTTTAAATCTACTATTAAAAAAAATACTTATTAAAAAAGCTTATTATAAGGTATACGATTATATAACAGATAAGAACGCTTGGACTTAAGATGATCCAGCAACTGCATAGGTGATTACTTCTAAACTCATTATCTTGTTTCCATTATTATTAAATGATTATGGTATCATTATAAGACCATCGTTTTATTTTTCTCTCTGTTTATTATGTATTGATCTGGTAATGACATGGTTTTTGTAAATGTCATTACTCTTATTAGGGCTGGTGAGTTTCTTGCTCGTTCTTCTTATCAGCCAAAAGACGTCCTGAACGAGTAGTAGGGAAAAAAAATGTTGGACGGTTCAAAAGTACTTTTAAGAAGTCTATTTCAATAAAGATTATTTTGACTTTGACTTTGAAAGCTATAACATTTAGCGACTTTCTAAATAATTTAATAACGTTAGTTGAGAGTGAAAATCCAAAACATTGCATTAAATGGAACGGAAAACTGCTGCGAGAACCTTTTCCACACAAGAGAAAATAGAGATTTAGAAATAATCTCCACATTATTGTGTACCATTAAAGAAAGTCTATCTACAGTTTATAAGTCTCCAAAATAAACATGAGCGAAAAAAGTGTTTTAGATATTCTGTTATTATTTGATATAAGTATTAGAAGTTTGAAACGAAGACGATTAGAACACATTTTCTTTTTTAGAGAGGTATAACAGTGCTTCCTATATAAAAAGAGCCTTAGGTATAGGTGAATAAGGTATTACACATTCTGATTATAAGGTAGACTCAGACCAAATAAAAAGTATAGACGGAGTTTTGCCTAACAGAAAAGTGAAGCCGACAAAACTACGCCTCGGCGTATTCGTACACAGTTTCACGCAAACATACATAACGAAACTACACCTTCCTTATCAGTCTAACTATAGACAGTGTGCGAAACGTTTCATTATAAAAAAATCAAAAATTTCTTACTAACTGCCGAATTGTGTAGTAAAAGGTTGTAAAAACCAATCCTCAAAAAATAAAAAGCAGGATGGAATCACATTTCACACATAAGTATTGGAGAAAACTTACATTTTCAGTAATTTAAAAATAAAATTTAAGTAATTGCTTTGAACACAAAACCTCAGCCAAATATTACCATCGTTAAACGTTATTATTTACCCCGAAATTAAGTAACTTTAATTTTATAACGCGTTATTTCTAACAAAACACAAATTACGTTATGTATTTGTTTCTTGTTGTATGGAAATGATATTTGATAAATATTGCATTGAAAACGCTATATAGAGATCCAGATCACAGATATTGAAGTGTTAGAATAAGGAAGTAAAAAATAAAAAACGGGTTTATTTCTTTATTTTTACTAAGCGGGTTTGCATTAATTTTAAGATTTCCAAACTGACATCAAAAAGTGAAAGAGAAGTGGATTTCAGTCATTCGTAATAGTCGAAATTTCGACGACGAACCTTCATGGAATCCAACTTCACGCAGCGTAGTTTTTTTGACACATTTTAAGAGCGATGATATGTATTTTACTATAAAGGGCTACGTCGAATAAAGCAAAACTAATATTCAAACTTTCTATATATTAAAATTTTAGTTAACATAGTGGAAGTTTTCAAACTTAGCTTAAAAATTAATTAAATAGTCTCTCTAATATATGGCCTCCAATACCTACTCTTAAAGATTTTAGAATATCTATGCTGATATTGATAAACGAATTTACATTACATATATTATTAAATAGCATAGCGTTAACGTTAACTCTATAACGTCGTAACGTTAAATTATTGGAGTGTTTTTAATGACTATGGTCACACTGGCACGCACACTACAATTGCTAAAAATCGGCTTCACTTTGTTAGGCGCCTATTACACTACCCAATCTATCGGGCCCACAGAACATAGATCTATGTTCTGTGATCGGGCCCGATCCATCGGGTGCACTGTAAATTGGGTAGTCTAATCGCAGTTAGAGAGTTAGGGTCCCGATATCGGGTGAACGTGGGCGCCCGATCGCCCGATGAGAGTTAGGGCCGATTTATCGAGTAATGTGATCGCTGTTAGGGTGTTAGAGCGCTCAGTCGGTTGTTGCGCAGCGTGCGTGTGAGATGTCAGTGAACGACAACGAAATTTGCCAACAGACAAAAATGTCTTCTCAAAAGGAAAAGAAATAATATTAAGTGTAATTTAATATTATAACTTTTTCTTATATATGTCGCATAATCATTACGAAGATCGTTTGATTTAGTTTCTTTTATTTTAATAGCTAGTTACTCGATTACTTAAATACTCGATT